CCCCCGCCCCTCCTCTGCTCCGCCAGTTCCCGCCGGACCCACCGGGCGGCGGAGAGAGCTGGCGGGCGAGCCGGAGAGCGGCGGAGGCGGCGCTGGAGGGAAGGGGCGCGCGGCAGGCCCACGGGGAGCCGCCCGGGCGCACGGAGTCCGCGTCCGCTCCGGACCGTCCCCGCTCCGCGGCCGTACCTGAGGGCGCCGGGAGCCCGGGCAGCGGCGCGCCGGACCGGAGTGGCGTGGGGGCCGGGGACCTGGGAAGCGGGAGGAGCCGGAGCTCGACCAGGATGAGAAGGTGACGCCGCCGGGGGGCGCCACTCGCTCTGTGGGGGAAGATGCTCGCCTACTGCGTGCAAGATGCCACCGTGGTGGACGTGGAGAAACGGAGGAACCCCTCCAAGCACTATGTGAGTATCGCCCCTAAGACCCCCGCGGGGGGCTGGCCAGGAACCCCCGATGGCCCTGGGTGGCCCCTTGCCCTACCCGCGCTGTTGAGTCCCGGGGCTAAGTGCCCACAGGGCAGCCCTCGGCGGTGGAGTTTCTTCACAGGGCTGTGATCTCCAGGGAAGCCTTTTCTGACCTTCCTCCACTCCCCCCACGCCCGTTTTCTTTTTTTGGCATTGGAATTGGCAAGTGGCTGCCCTTGTCTGTTACAACGGTGAAGTCATCTGTCCGCCTGAGCTTTGAAGGATGGTGGGGGGAGCGTTCGTCAAACCCTCGCTGGGAACCTCCGTTGGGAAAGAGCATCTTCCCGGCCCTCCCTGGGGACTCATTCACGCTCACACAGACCGAGATGCTTTCAGAGGCTTGACCTGGGGAAGGAAGCCTCACGCGAGCCTCCCACTTTTGCTCCGTTCTCGGCCTCCCTAGGCCTGGGTCTGGGGGCAGAGGGATGACGCCGCACCCCTGCCCCACCTCCACCTTCAGCCCTGAGCTTTGATTTCCTTCTTAAAGTCCTTGTGTCCGTCGGTGTGAGGAGAATTGTGGCTTTTCCTTTTATCCCTCCCCTGGACATGACCCTTAACTGGGTTCATTTCCTCTTAAGTGATGCTCCATCTCCAGACACGAGGAGGCAAATGTTTGCTGTGGTCTCCGAGGAACAGCCGCCTGCCCCTCCCCCTTCCTTCTCCAAACTTAATGAGAAGGGGCTAAGGTTGATTGAGCCGAGCTCCTGGGCTGTGGGACGCGTCCCTCTTTCATCTCAGCCCCTCCTGTCTTCCCATACTTCCCACCTTAGGAAGTAAACTGTGTCCTTGACGCCTGAGAATGCCAGTCTAGCGGTTTTGCTCCTGTTCTTGAGATAGAAGAGACAGACAGCAGGGCATCCAAAGCAGGAGGACTGCATCTTATGTGCAAATTAGTCATTTAAAGGAGCATTTAGAATGCTCAAAGCATTAATTTTAACAATTAAAACAGGCTGTTGGTTGCTGCCCTGGACAGCACATTGATCTCTGAAATTCCTTTTATTTCCTTGTTGGAAGGAGACTGGGATTTATGCCAATATCAGCCTCAGGCTACTCTTTCTGTCTATCCCCAGTGGCTCTGATCTTTGGGATTCTTTATAGTAGAATAAATGGGCCTGGGCTCAGGTTGGGGAGGAGGTAAACCAAGGAGTCTGGTTCCTGATGGGACAGAGACAGAGACGTGGGTGCTGGTGGGAGAGCTGTTCCTTTTGTGTTACTGGCTCAGCAAGCATCTTGCCCTGCCATTTCAAGAAAGCTCTTTTTGGAGGACTTGGGTCACCATGTGGTCACCCTCCCCTGGGGACAGGTGTCCATTTGCACATCCCAGCACTTATTACGAAGTCAGCCTTCCTAAGTTCTTTTCTCAAATGTTGCAGGCTAAGTTTTAGGGGTTCTTTTTTTTTTTTTTTTGTCCTGAACTTTTTTGATAAACATTTTGAATGTCATTTGGTTTTCTTATTCTTTTTTTTTTTTGGCTGTGTTGGGCCTTCGTTTCTGTGCGAGGGCTTTCTCTAGTTGCGGCAAGCGGGGGCCACTTTTCATCGCGGTGCACGGGCCTCTCACTATCGCGGCCTCTACTGTTGCGGAGCATAGGCTCCAGACGCGCAGGCTCAGTAGTTGTGGCTCACGGGCCTAGTTGCTCCACGGCATGTGGGATCTTCCCAGACCAGGACTCGAGCCCGTGTCCCCTGCATTGGCAGGCAGATTCTCAACCACTGTGCCACCAGGGAAGCCCCCTAGGGTTTTTTTCCTAGTCCTCAGTTAAGGTAGGCGCTGCTTTCAACAGATGGCACTCTGTTCTGAGACCCAGGCAGGTGCCGGCTCTGGATTTTAGGTGAAACATCAAATCTTAGCTTTGACCAATGATGTCCAAGGTTACAGATGTAGGATGCACTCCTGGTCAGGAGTGCTGCTAAAGCGACGGGGGGCCGGATGCAGATAGTGTTGAGAGGTGGTTAGTGCTGAGGCTCTGAGTTACAGGCTCTTGTTCCAAGCCTGGCTCAGATACTGACTAGCTATGCAGCTTTGGGCAAATTATTTAACCTCCGTGGGCCTCAGTTTCCTCATTTTTAAAGTGAGTATAATAATAGTATCTACTTCAGAGGGTTGTCTGGAGAATTAAATGAGATCATACATGCAAAGCACTTAGCCCAGCTCCTGGCACAAAACAAGCACTCATTAAATGGTAGCTTGGCGTGATTCTGACTAAGAAAGCACTTTTGAAAAGCAGCTATTAATGGTCTGGCAAGAAGGAAGAAAGGTTTGGGGTTTTAAGATTGATAAAAACTTGTTCTGTGTGAAAAATACAAAAGAAGTCCTGTCCAATTCCCTCAAAATGATCATTTCCTCCCTTTTTATGGACAGTGTTTTCTGGGACGTCTCCACTTCCCGTGTAAGAATCAATGACATTATGTTTGGGGCCGGGAGTGATGTCACTGAGCAGATGGGGCCATACAGAGCCCTGAACCCAGGTTGTGGAAAACACTTAAAGGAGAGAGTATTGTGTGTTACGGAATTGTGGAGCTGGCAGGGACCTGAGGACTCGTGAGGCTCCACCCCCTCATTTTTACAGATGAGGAAACTGAGAACCAGGTGGGGTAAAGTCACTTGTGACACAGCTAGTCACAGCACCTGGGTCTAACTCGCCTTCTGCCCATGTCATGGGTTGGGTTCATCGAAATACCGTAAAAGGCTGGTTGGGGTTGACGAGCCCAAATATCTGGTGATAGCAGGAGGTTCCTGCACATTTGGGGCATCAGTGCATAACTTAAGGAGAGGGGGCCAATAATAGAAAGTGCCGGCAGCGCCAACAGGGCAGGAGGAGCATGCTGGGGAGGCTGTGCCTCTGAAGTTTAGGATCGCCTACTCTCTCGGCCTTTACGTGGTGGACACCACACACCAGAAGGTCAGGTGTTCCGGGCAAGGCGCGCTGGTGTGGGTAGCTGGCAGGACACACTGCGCCCAAGTCACGTATGTTCTGGAAGCCCTGTACGCTGAAGAAGCATGCCTTCTTCCCGCCTCCCCTCCACTGATGGTGAATTCGGAGTCTGCGGTTTGGCAAATTGCAGAGCAGAGCAGCTTTATGGGACGTGCACGTTAGCTGGAGCTAGCTGATGAGAGGCCTGGGGCCCAAGAAGGAGGGGCCCTGCTGGCCCCAGAATGCTGGGAACATACTGCAAAGGTCTTCTCAGGACATCCAGCCAAAGGCATGCTTGTCCCCGTGATGTGGGGGAGCTGCCTGGACACTGAGGGTCTTGTGTTTTGGTCTGTTTATGAAAGGCAGGCAAGTGACCTCCATCATTTGAGTGGTGCTGTCAGCCCTTGGCTTCCTTCCCTTCTGTCAAGCCCCTTCTTGGGGTGCGTTTGGGGAAGATGGGCAGCTGCTGCTTAGGCCAGGCTCCCTGCATGGAGCTGGGCTCCTCTCTTAACTTTTATGAGCTGCCCCTGGGGAGACCTTTAGGTAAACTGTCTTTGGCCTGAGACCACTTGTCTTTCAAATGATCCTGATGATGCTGATTGCAAACTGCAGATACCTTTGAAAACTTTCCGTAACGATTGAGTTCCAGTTCACATAATCCTTCATACCCACAAGCATGTGTAGGTGTATGTCAAGTCATTTGGTGCTGGAGAGGAGCTCGTGCGTCTAAAACAAAAAATAAATTATTTGTTTGGATTTGGGAGGCGTTGTGCTTTCACAGTCTTTTGCTTTCCTGACTGTTTCAGACAAATGTCAGTCATGAGTGTTCTGATCCTCTGCAGGACTCTTCAGGGAATGCAAATAATAGTCAGTGTTAGCAGTTACCATCGATGGTGCCAAATGCTTAGCGTGCATGATTTCATGTAATTCCTACAGTTCACTGAATGTCTTTGATTCCTTTATACAGATGGGTGAACTGAGAGGTTAGAGGTTGCTCAAGGTCTCCCAGTTAGTACAAGGCAGATCTGGGTCAACTCAGGCCACTTTACCTCCAGAGGAAGCTATGAACCTACAGTGAGGCCCTTCTCCACTGGAGTCTGGTTGGGGAGACCAGGCTCAGGTTTACATGATGAGAGAACAGTGCCACGTGGTATTTGAGGACTGGCTCACTGTGTGGGACGTTCACCTTGTGTCCTGGAGGTGAGTGTGTGACGGGTGATGGAGGAGGTCACTGTGAGGCAGGGGGAGTGGAACAAATCCAAGATGATATCTGCTCCCCAGTGATGCTTGTGATAAATGAAGGATCCACCCTGTGGAAATAATACATTCTCCTGTGTGTTTAGAGCGTTGCAGGTTTTGGTCTTGGTCCTGGGAGCTACATTTTTAGGAATTGGCCCCAGATCCGTTCTTTTCTCTGCCCTTCATTTTTTCTTAAGCCCTTAGACTGTGGATCCAGCCCCATGAGAGGAAGGGTGTGCAGCTGCAGTACGGAAAGGATCTTCTCAGGCCAGTCCCACTGAGGAATGAGTGGTGGTGGGCAGATCAGGGTTTGAATCCCACCTCTGGCTCTTCCTGGGTGTGCAGCGTGCAGCCAGTCACTGTGGGTCTCAGTTTCCTCACCTGTAACCTCACAGGGATTTGGGGAAATTGATCTGAGATAATTTGGGGCAAAGCTACTTAGTACCTGGCCTCCATCATGGGTACTCAACATACACTAGCTTCCATCTGGTCCTCCTTATCACCAAAACACGTGAGTACATTTAGGATCTAATAGGTGAAGCTGTGAGAGGAGGAAAGACTAAGGCAAAAAAGGAAGGCCCAGCTGTTCATAGTCTGAGGGGAAAGTGGGCTACATGCCTCGTGGAAAACACCCAACATAGGAGAGAAGCACATAAACAAGGAGCAGCTGTTCAGACCTGGAGAGCTTCCTGGAGCTGCCCTAGTGATGGCTTCGTGGTAGGCTGGGAAGGAGAAGGGAAGGAACTTGTGTTGGGGGAGAGGACTAGAGAGGTGTTGCAGGTAAGGG